ATATATGAAGAAATAGAGGAAGATAAAAACAAACAGATTATGGCCATAACCTGTTTGAGTTTATCTTCCTCTAGGTCTTTACGCATTTGTTTGTTTCCTCTGTTATCCTCTTTATGAGCAAAGATGTTAGGTCATCTTTTTGAATTTCAGTTATGCTGAGGTGTCCAAGGCTACTTGCCCCTGGATAACTCGGTTCTGGAGATGCCATATTGCTCTGTCTTTTGTTGGTTGAGCTTTTATGTTGGCCTCTACCCATATCTCAGGCGTTGGGAGTTAGTTTCTGGTGGTTCCTGGAATCCTGTGATGGAGTGAATTCCCTTGGCAGGAAGATGGTTTTTCCTGAAATAAGCCTCCTCAGCTTTTTGGGTATGGTCACTGTATGGCTGACATTTTCCAGGAGTTGCCACAGCTCATCTCAGGCATAGAGACCTGAGTGGCAACTGTGATCCCTGTTAGTTGAGAGGGCTCTCCTCTCACCCTGAGAATTCCTGGAGACAGCTGCCCTGATTCTGGATTTCCTTCTTTAAATTTAGTGATCTGCTGCTGTAACCTGGGTGTCCTGTCGTTTGGTCAGTTTTGTTAGAGATAACTGGATGTCACTTGGAGCAGTATCTGGGGATTGATCTCAGGGATCCCAGGCTTCTGTAGGTCTTAGGTAGGGGCTCTGTGCTCCAGTAGTCAAGTGGTAATCTGTGGCAGGTGAGTACTACTTTCCTAGTAGCAGCAGGCCAGCTGTTCCACAGCTGGACCCTGGGTTGGGCCGGTCTGTGGGACCTTTTCCAGGGATATACTGGGTGGCCTAAGTCCATCCCCTTTGTTTCGTTCCCTTTGGGGATTTCTCTGGACAGTGACTCTAAGTCTCTAGTGCCCTGGGGCACACAGTTCTGTCTGTGACCAATAGTTGGTGCAGAGCACGTCTGTGGGCTGGTGGAGAGTGCGGACGTCTGTCTGTGGGACCTTTTCCAGGGATATACTGGATGATTTAATTCGGGTCCCTGTTTCCTTCCTTCTCTGTGTGACTTACTCCTGACATGTATCCCAGTATCTGGTGTCCTCGGGTGCACAGCTCTGTCTGTGCCAGAGACCTGGGCACACAGCAAGTCTCTCTGCTCATGGCTGGAGCCCAGTTCAGTGATGGCGGCTCACACCTGCTAGTCTGAGAGACCTTTTCCAGGGAAGGACTGGGTGACCCATGGCTAGTCCCATTTCCTTCCTTCCCTGTGCATTTTTCTCGTGACTGGGACTCCCAGTCTCTGGTGTTTTTGTGCCCACCATTCAGCCTTGGAAGGTGATCAGGACAGGCAGGTGTGTGGCTCTGGGTCTGGTGACTTAGTGCCTGCATGACCCAGGATCTCTTCTGGGTTTTGGCTGGGTGACCTGAAAGTGGACCCAACTGATTCCAATGTCCTGGAGGTTTCTGCTCACCAAGGAAACAGGATTGCTGTTGTTTTAAGGCCCAGAGTTCAGTTTCTTGGTCTCTGTATAGAAAATGTTTTCCTATACAAAATGAATAAAGTGTAATTAATAAAAGTTAAATAAAAAAAAGAAAATGTTTTCCTGTTACTCAGACCCAGTGTTCTCTTGTAGCCACCATCTTGTTCCCCACCCCCCCACTTCTTCTTGAATTATATTTTCAAGTTCAGTATTGGCAGCAATAGAAAAAGGTGTGATGTTATAGAGACATCATTATCAGATGTGCTTGTAAACAATTTACCAGATAATTGCATCAAACAATTCTTAGGAAAACCACTATCAACACTTGGAATTTACACTTGACAATTTGGCAACAACTGTGTCTGATTTGTTTGCTGCTGGGACAGAGACAACAAGAACAACACTGAGATATGCTCTCCTGCTCCTGTTGAAGCACCCACACGTCACAGGTGAGAACACAGGTGTTGAACCACAGCAATCCTGTGGGATGCTGGAAAGTCAGTGTTAATGTCCTGAGTGTTGTTATTTTTAGAGTAGTCTCAGTCCTTATCTTCTGTGCCATTGACAATAATGAGAAGGATGACTGAAAGACTGTGGATGTACAAAAAACAATTTAAAGATGGATCAGTATCCAGGAACCTTGGGAGGTCATCCGTTTCAGGAACCTCCAGCATCTTTTGGGTTGTTGGACATATACTTTTACTCTCCATGTCAGGTTTTTAGAGCAGACAACTTGAATGTACTTTTGTTTATTCTGATAAATCTAATTCTATTGTACATAGGTGAGAACTCACCTCAGTGAAGCAGAAGTATGAGTCATGGAATTGCCAGAGTCTACCTGAGATAATTTCTAATCTAAGAACTATTCCAGATAATTAAAGTCATTAGAAAGTTATTTCCATTTAGGCAGAAGTTGTACATATGAGAATTTTAGTATTTCAAAGTCCATTTCCATGCAACTTCTGTTGAACACAGTTATTTTCAATTGTACCAAGAGTATTTGCTTTTAAAAATAACATTGGTGTAAAAAGTACTATTTTCCATGTTTACAGTATTTATTAAATTGCATATTATGTTTACAAACATTACTTCAATTAACAGTTGAGAAATTGTACACTATTTGTGAAAACAAGAGTTTCACGATGACACTCATGTAATCAATTACCTTCAGATATTACATAAATATACATTATATGTTCACAGTGTTTATGCTTTCCTCAGCATAAACAATGGTTCTTGCATACTTAGGAGAAAGAAATGCCTCTGGAGATAGAAACAAAGAGAACAAAGTAGTGGGCAACCTTTCTTCTTATATTATTGTCACCAGAATAAACACAGCATTCATGAGAACTATCTTGATTTATTTAAGGCAAAGAGGGTCCCTCTCTTTTTCCTGTCAGAGAGACAAGATGAAACTTAATTTTAAGTACATTCAATGTTTTAGCATTTATGAAATTTAGCTTTTATTTGTGTTCAATATACATTGACGTGACAATAGCATAAATGTGAATGACAATTAGTAATGAAAGGATAGGAAGAAGGAAAAATGGCGACCAGCCAAGAGGGCTTCACAAAAATCCTAAACTACAATAACTTAGTGAGGAATGAGGACAAACGGGAGGAAGATGACACTGACACTGAGGTGTCGGAGGAACACGTAAGCTGTGTTTCTGCAGTCACAGTCTGGGTCTCAGTTTCAAAACAGTTAGGAGTCTATGCAGAGAAAAGCATTATAGAAGGAGGTTCTTCCCAGGTGCCCAATTCTATCCACATTCCGAGGTACTCCTGGATACAATGCTGTGAGAGCTCCTTTTCTTGCACTGTGCAGCCTTGTATTATGACAAACATGTCACTTCTCCCCTATTCTTACACATCTCTGTGTGACTAACCAGCTAAAGTCCAGGAAGAGATTGACCGTGTGGTGGGCAGACACCGCAGGCCCTGCATGCAGGACAGGAGTCACATGCCCTACACAGATGCCATGATTCACAAGGTCCAGAGATTCATTGATCTTGTCCCCAACAACCTGCCTCATGCAGTGACCTGTGACATTAAATTTAGGAATTACCTCATCCCCAAGGTAAGCTTGTCTCTCCTCTGCTGTTCCCCTGTGCTCTCCATGTTGCCAGGTTCACAGTGAGGTCCAGTCTTGAGTCACACTCTGCTGAAAGTAGTGTCTGCTGTTTCAGGTGTGGGAGGGTCTCTTCCCCAAGTAGGGGCAGGGGAAGGACAGCTCCATGTTTGCTGAGCCTTCCAAATCCTGTTCGGGAAAGCTCAGGTATTCCTCAGTGAATACAGCAACATTTTGTCAATTTTTCCAAACACTTTTCAGAAATGTCTACCATTCTGAGAGTAAATCTGGAGATAATTGGAGAAAGCCTGGATCCTGAATCCTTTGAATCATCGCTCAGCTCTTAGTCTTGTGCTTTGCTTTGTTTTCTTTGTGATGTTTTCATTCCAGCCATGCAAATTCAAAATACTTTCTTAGCAATTTCCTAAATAACATTATTCTCATACTATGATTTTTTCCCCTTGATCTTTTTAATCTGGTTTATGAAAACAATTGACTTAATAACTTTGTTTATCTGATTTTAACCAACCATATGAATTTTAGTACTTACTGCTAATGATTTGTCTGTGAATGTACGTGGACTTTCTGGGTGTAATCTGGATTAGTGCTCTTGTATATACTTTCCCAATTCTGTGTACTTAATTTCTGTTCGTGGTGTTATTCTAGGACTTGAAGAACTCCAGGTTAGGACTGAATGGAACTGACAGCAATGGGTATTGATTCGTTTTATTCCTGAGAAATACAAAGGAGTACAACTTTAATACTTGCTTGTCAAGTCTGATATCTTAGAAAGATTTGGAATGTGCTATTGATCAGACTAGGAACATTTCCCTTGGTCTTTTACTTAGACATGAGTTTGAACAAGACAACATGTACCTTCTTTTTAGATATGGTTTCTGCACCCATTTTTAATTATTGTATACATACATTAGCTATAATTTTATCTGTGATTGCACATATTAAAAGCATATGTATACATTTATATTTACTTGGGCACATTAATTTTTCATGACTTCTCTGTTTTAAGAAGTTTTGTTCTTTTTTAAAATTTATAATTTGAAATATTTATACGTGGGTACAGTGTATCTTGATTATATCCTGTCCTACCTCCTCACTTGCAACAACTTGCCAGGACACCTGAAACACATTTCCCTTTCAACTTCATATCTTTTATTTATCTATATAACCCACTGAGTCCAGACTGTTTTTTCTGTATGTACATGGGTATGGGTCATTTGTTGAAGTATGGCGAACCTACCAATTGCCACTCATGTAAAGAAAAGTAACCCTCATTGGGCTTCTTTTGTAGGGGTAGGGTCTCTGGAGACCTTCCACAGTCTATGTTGGAATTTTTTAGTTGGCTTAATCCTGTGTTGACCTTGTGTACATAAACACAATTTCTGTGAATCCGTGTATGCAAGAGCTATGTCCTATTTATGGGAACAATTTCATACCACCTTTTCTTGATTTGTGCATTCATTTTACCCACTCTTCCTTGATGTTCCCTGAGGTTTGACAATATGGTTGAACATATACCCCTTACTTCTTTTTTTTTCCTACTATTCTTTATCCACGTATAAACCTTTAGCTCCCAGTGTCATCTCCCTGTTGTTTGATGTCACACATGTGCTTTGGTCCTTGATTATATTATATGTTTTTAATCTGGACTATCAGATCACAGGTTCTCCCACAGCTTCTTCCTGAACATTGTATTTTTTTTCAGCCTTCATCTTGCTGCTCACTTCCCCTATTCATATCACTCCACTACCCATTGGATCCTGCCCCCTACTTTAATTTCACCCATATTCTACTACCTGCCCCAATGCATCTTCCACTGACAATGATCTGCAGTTAACTTTCTTCATCCACATTAACCCCAAGTTAAATAAAGAAAACAAACCAATGGTGTAAGGCAATACTCTCAAGTGAGAAAGAACATTTGTGTCTTTGATCTGGGTGACCTCACTAGGTATAATTTTCATCTCATGAGTAAAACAGGACTTTTCAACTTGTATGTTGAACCGTTGAACCGTCCTAGCATTTCTGGAATTAAACCAGCTTGGTTGTGATGAATGAAGTTTTTGATACATTCCAGTACTGACTTCAAATTGTGATGAAGGCAATTTAACATCACTGTGACTGACCCCACACTCTCCCCCATTCCTCATCCTGCTCCTCAAATGCTCTGTCTGTCAGAAATGTCCCTGCTATTCTTTATAGTCAATCCTTTCTAAGGATCAGAACCCTGGACTATGATGTTTTTCTTAGGGGCCACCTTTACTTTATAACTTTTTTTCTGGGTGTTATTCCAGGGGACAACAGTAATGACATCACTCTCATCTGTGCTGTATGACAGCAAGGAATTCCCCAACACAGAGACATTTGACCCTGGCCACTTTCTAGATGGAAATGGAAACTTTAAGAAAAGTGACTACTTCATGCCTTTCTCAGCAGGTAATAAAACTCATTACCTTGATTCCAGTGGCATGCAGATCTTTGGGGATTTCCACAATGATTCCATAGGGGGCTGATAGATTTGCAGTTTGTGCAGGACCAGGGGCGTGACTTCCAGGGCTCATGTCCTGTCTGTGGTGAGGAGCACCCTCTTTGTCAGACCTTGAAATTGAGGCTTTTGATTGTTCATCCATTGTTCAAAATAGAGGAAGCCAAAGTGTAGGGAATTTGTGTTCTTCCTTTAGATCCATCACAGAGGTACCAAAGATACCATCCTAGAAACCAGCTTCTTTTTTTTTGAATGTCTTAAAGCTTTATTACTATTATTATTATTTTATTATTAATTACACTTTATTTATTTTGTATCTCCCCATAAGCCCCTCCCTCCTCCCCTCCCGATCCCACCCTTCCTCCTCTTTCTGCATGCATGCCCCTCCCCAAGTCCACTGATAGGGGAGGTCCTCCTCTCCTTCTTTCTGATCTTAGACTATCAGTTCTCATCAGAAGTGGCTGCATTGTCATCTTCTGTGGCCTAGTAAGGCTGCTCCCCCCTCAGGGGGAGGTGATCAAAGAGCAGGCCAATCAGATTATGTCAGAGGCAGTCCCTGTTCCCATTGAAACCAGCCTCTTTTCTGCTTTACTCTTTCACCATGAAAATGAAGACTTCTCCATAATTTAAGTTTATGTTACTTTGCTGTGTTGCTCACCTCCAGGCTGAACTATGCAGCTGTGGCTCCAAAAATACACAAAAGCACCAAAGAGCCTGAAGCATGCTTGATAAACAGATGAGTAAATAATTCCTGTTAATGCAGCTGGACCAGTGCATATGAGATCACCACACAGCTTAGGACCAGAAGGTTGCTGGGGAGAAATCCATACCTTGCTCTTTGTCACATTTTGAGGACAAAAATAAAGCAACATTCTCATGAAAGGTTTTCTAGCTGCCCTTAAAAGCATAGGTCCTAGAGACTACACAGAGAAAATGCAGATCATTTCACAGAAGCACATGAAGCACTGGAGCAGGATATTTCCTCTCGGTTCAGAATCTTGCAGCTCACTGTGGGTTGATGGAGATCTTGTAGATAAGCTATGATGTCCTGCAGTGGCTACAGGGCTGTCCTCTCCCATATTCAAGGTGTGAGCCAAGGATATTTGGTCCTTACCTGCAATATGTGTGCTACCTTGAGACAGAGCTCCCTTCATTAGTATTATGAGCTTCATAAAAAATTCACATTCCCCACTCCACATTTCTCCTTGTCCTCTGAATACAGGTATGAACAAACACATCTATTTGAGAAGTATTTTTGAATGATATATTTCTGAAAACAGCATGTTAGTTGGAAATATGTTCCTCTTTGTCTATTTGTCTAATTTCTTTTCCCTTCACCCATCCATTTATCTAAGCACCCACCCATAAACTCAGAAGTTATTAAACTTTTCTTATATCTCTACCAGTACAGTGCATCTCAGATTAATGTTTGTTGTGTATGGGAATAATTACCTTCTTTGGTATTTTTTCCTCCCAGGAAGACGGATGTGTGCAGGAGAGGGCCTGGCTCGCATGGAGCTGTTTCTGTTCCTGACCACTGTTCTACAAAACTTTAAGCTGAAGCCTTTGGTTCACCCAAAGGACATCGATACCACCCCAGTTGTCAATGGATTAGCCTCTGTGCCACCCCCTTACCAGCTTTGCTTCATTCCTCTCTAAAGAGATCAGGTTAACTGGCTCCTGATGTATTGTCTTCTGCAATCCCTTTTGGCCCATCATATGCTCCTCCCCATCAAGGTACTCATGTTCTTTCTCCCTTCAAATAGCCCCCAAACCCCTCAAAATTCAGGAAACACACATATTCGATTTGGTAGTTTCTGGAGTCACTTCTCACATATATGTGCACTTCCCTATTGGCAACTGCTCCCATCCCTTGTGTTCATGTGTATGTAGACTCGAGCTATTAATGTAACTGTAGCATCAAGAAATATTTTTCTTATAGTAATTTATAGTATTTGCCTTTTGCGTGCTCCCAATAAAAATATATTTTGATTGATATGTCTTTGGTAAAATTCTCATGATAGTTCTGGCTAGAAACAAAAGAAGATTGATTTCATGCTGGTCCACATAATAAGAATGGGGCATGTAGAGAGTGAGTGCTGTGTAGAGAGCTTGATTCTGATGTCCTTGTCACACAAGCCTGAAGACCCAAATTTCATCTCCAGTGCATATCTCAAATTCTAGGCATGGGGGTTATACCAGTGTTTATGAGGCAGAGACAAAAGGATCCCTTGGACTTCCTGGTCACACATCCTAGCTAAATAGGCAAGCCTCAGGTCTCAGGGAGACACCTTGTGTCACAAAACAAGATGCACAATTCCTGAGAAACAGCACCCAAAGTTTACTTCTGGCCTCTACATTGATGTGTACCCATTCTCAAACATGCACCTAATCATGCACAGCTTATCTCCCACTTCCTCAACACAAAGGAGAAGGTGGAGATGAGGATGCTAAGAAAGCTCTTTGGTTGAATGTGAACTAGAGTCACTGCCAGTATTTGTATTTGAAACAGATGAACAGTGAACAGAAGCAGGAGCATAGTGTTAATAAACAGAGTGATGACAAGTCTCAGGGAGGAATAGACATGCAGGGATGGGGCTGTGCCCTGCTCTGCTGCCAGGAGCCTTTGGTGCAGAAAGGGCCTGTGGCAAGCAAGTGAGCTTCCTGGATGCAGCCCATCAATTTTGCACAGCTGACAAATGTGTTTGCCTGGTGAGGCACAGCCCCAGGGACTTTGTCTCCAGGTTGTTTCCTACTGCTGATAGGTCTTTCCATGAGTGTCACTGCTGTATTTCTCATATAAATGGTAGAGAGAAATTCTCACTGCATGTGCTCTAGTGTAACTGTTTAACTGTGTTGGGCAGTTTTTCTGCTGAATCAATATGAAGATGATATTATAATTCCTGGAGTCTGTACTGCAGACTGTGTGTATCTGTCTCTGGAATCTGGAGTATTCTTTAGGAAGATGAGAGTGGTCTACAGTTTTGTGAGTGGTTGTAGGTGTTTCAGAGGCAGCTAAGAGAGGAAGATCGCAGGTGTGTGGGCACAAGGGCAATGATGTGCATTGCTGTGTGCCTGGTTCACAATTGCAGTGTGGGTGCATAGGAGCCCTGAACAGCTCAGTGGCCCACAGGCCTGTACTGTGCTTCAAGCCCTCAGATCTGTCTGGCTTGTACCATCTTGGCTTCAGGAATTGTTTCCAGGAATTGTTTGGCTGGACTACACTGGGAGATCCTCAGAACAGGGCCTTCAATGTTGAGAACACTGTCCCAGGGATCCCTATGTTGCCCACAGTGGGGAGGGATCTCGTGTCTGGAGGGTAGTGTAGAGGGAACCTGGATGTGGGGCTCTGTAATGACTCTCTGGCAGACTTACTCATTTGCAGGTGTGTGTGGAAAGGGCAGAGTCCCCAGGAACTCACCGCCAGGTGTATGCAGTAAGCTCAGAGGGTCCACAGTTTTCTACTCTCAGATCTGGGTCCCCTGTTTAGGCTTTGGAGGGGGGAGGCCCCTTACCTGGGGTTATGCACTCCCTACCTCCCTCTGCCGTACCCACCACCTTTGCTGGATGAGCCAGAGGATTTGCAGCCTTGAGTGCTGAAGTCGATAATTCCCCACTCTCAGTCTCTGGAGGCGTCCACAGGGAGCCTGGATCTAATCTGTCCCAGGTCATGGTTTGTCCCCTCTAGCCTGGAAGCCTCAAAGTCAATGTTCTGTCTTCAGTAGCCCGTGGCTCATGCACTCACCAGTTCTGGAGGTTCAGAACCTTTGCCCTTCTGATAGGGTGTACATTGGTCACTGCCATCTTGGAGTCCAGGATTTTATAATTTCTGATAATGATTTTATAGAATTCCTGATTTGAATCAGGCAACTTTTACCTCCGACCTTCAGAATATCAAAACTGATAGGAACTCTGTGAATCTTCTTGATTCAAGCATATAAATTGCACTAAGAAGAACAGGTTTGGGACAGATTTATGACCCACAGTAAACATTTGCTTTAGGTTGGAAATGAGATCATTGAGTCTTGGTATGTACCATACTAAATAAGCCATGAATAGAAAATAGATAATTAACTATTTTATCTACACAAAGCATCAAAAATAAAACTAAAGATAGAAAACCAGTTTCTTGGAAAATATAGATTATAACTAACTAGTATAGGAAAAGTAAAATACTATAGACTTGTCTTGCTTAAACCTTGTTAACTTGTGAAGTAAAAAACAACTCAGTCTCCATGAGGGTTCCCTAGTATGGGGAGAAGAGACAGGCTCTGACATGAATTTGGTTACCTGCCCTTTAATCCCTTCTCCCTGGTGGGGACACCTAGCCAGCCCACAGAAAAAGAGAATCCAGGCAATCCTTATGGAACCTGATAGGCTAGGGTTAGACAGTAGGGGAGGAGGACTTCCCCTATCAATGGACAAGGGAGATGGATAGGGGAGGGAGAGAGAAGGAGGCTTCTACTGGGAGGAGATGCGGGATGGGGCTACAACTGGGATACAAAGTGGAAAATTGATCATCATCATCATCATTAAGCTTAGACCAAAGTAAAAAAAAAAAAAAGAAAAAAAGAAAAAGAATTAAATAGCCACAACCATGAGTAGATTCAGGCTACAGAAGAGGCTTGCCTCTAGTGCCCTCTGTGGCAAAACAAAGGTCTGGATGGACCCCAATGAGACCAATGAGATTACCAATGCCAACTCTCCTCAGCAAATCAGGGAACTGATCAAAGTCAGGCTAATCATCTGGAGGCCTGTGACAGTCCATCATAGACATGATGCCGGAAAAATACCTTGGTCAACAGAAGGGCAGGCACATGGGCATAGGGAAGCAGAAGGGTACCGTCAACACTCAGATGCCTGAGAAGTTGGCCTGGATGAGAAAAATGAGGATCCTGCCCTGGCTCCTCAGGAGATACTGTGAATC